AAAGTCAATTGACCTTATTTCCGTTGATCTTATTACCTGTCACCGATCTAAAGAGGACAACTCGATAAAACCAGTAATTCCGAGTGTCATCCGTATCGTGCTTATGGGATGAATGGAACAACGTCAGTGTAACTTATAACGGTGGCCTCCAGATACCTGGCGCCCTCTGGTTGTAAGAAGTCCTGCTCGGGATACTGGGGGCTATGTCCCAGCTGACATCCCTTCCCCCATACTCGTGGGGTACACATGAAGAATAAAAATTACGAAAACCAAAAGCCAGATGGAGCTGCACGGCTCCAAACAGGGGCCAATGCTGGCCTTTCGACTTCGGTCGAAACAGAAACCATCTCTATAGAACTACCGGGGGCGCACAGTCCCTCGTACGATGTAGAGATGGTGGATACTAGCGTGAGACAGGATGCAGGTCCCGTCAGAACGCTATCTGACATCTCGCCGGAGGATGAGCAGAAGTTGCTTGCCTCTCCGGTGAACAACGTACCGTATCAAGCTCGAGAGCGAGAGCGGCTTAGTGGAGCCGGTCGGCAAAGCCTCAAGTGATGCCTAGAAAGGGGAATGAGCTTTGAGCAGGCTAGAGAAAAACCCAAAGAACCCGTTGGTCCACCACGGAAAGAAAAAAAGACCTAGCTAAACAAGGGAATGAGAGCCTCCTTCGCATGTACGCGACTTTATGGGAAGACATCGGGACTTTCCCCAAATTGACCTACTGATCATTCAACACAGTTGTGAAGCCGATAGTCACCTATGCATCCTTGGCATGGTGGACAAAAGCGACACAAAGAACTGCTAGCGCAAAACTAACTAAACTACACCGAATGGTGTGCATTGGTATAACAGGGGCTATGCGGACCTGTTCAGCTGATACACTTAGTGCTCTTGAAGGCATACCGCCCTTCCCAATTTTAATAGAGCGGGAGGCTTCCGAATAAAAACCGGAAACATGACAGGTCATATGAAGGTCCTAATGAAATTCACAAATGACCCTATAATTCACATGAGGTACGCAGTAACTCCAATACTACTCATTTCTAGGAATTTCAAGGTAGCCATCGCGGACCGAGCATCGTGGGGCACAGGAAACCCCTACACCAAACCCGGAGCTGAAATTTGGTACACTGACGGATCAAAACTTGAAGACGGAAAAATCGGAGCTGGTATATTTGGGCCGAATTTTAAAAGGTCGATACCAATGGGCTGCTACCCCACCATTTTCGGTGTCTCCTTTGAAACGGTGCCCCCAGTCTACTCACTAATATTTAGAAGGGCTGTTATACTAAATTAAATTACAATGCATTCATACAAATTTGATTGCAATCTAAATTTTATTTAACTATTTTTTAACAATTCCATAATATGTAAGTAGGTTTATTTGTTGTAGTATGTGAGTACACATAAACAATAAAAAGCCAACAACAGCATAGCTTAAATAAAGATTAAAACTAATTAAAATTGCTAAAGTGCATTATCCGAAATCCATTATCCTTGGTCCATTAACAACAGAGCAATTAGTCCTTGCGCCACCGAGTGGAATGCTATGAGTGAATTAGTAATAGCGTTATTCGAACTAAATAGTAGTACTAGCAAATATGAAGCTGAACAGGCAACAGCCAACTGAGCGCAGTAAATAATCCTTTCTATAATTTCCGTATGAATTTCGCTAATCCCAGGGCTCACCTACTACTCTGCCGTCTCTATGCATGCATACTAATAGTTTACGCATTTACGTACATATACATACATACATTCAAACGCACGCACGCACAACACTCAGTGAAGCTAACGAAGGACGACGACTTTATGTAGACTTAACCGTAGTAGGGGTACCCGGAGTAGGCGTAGGAGTAGGGTGAAGCATAGCCGCCATAGTAGAATTGTGGTGCCGGAGCAGGCGCTGGATGTGGGCTAGCCACTGGTAATGGTGCTGGACGAGCAACAGGTGATGGGCCAGCGGCAGCGAAGGCGAAGAGAGCGGCAAAAAGGACAACGAACTGCAAGTGAAGGAGAAGAAAATTTTAATATTAAAAACATTTATTAGTAGTAGTCATGCTAATTCCATTCGCGGATTATTGAATTGCTAAGTGGCTGAGGATTAAATACTTATGCAGTGCTAAAGTAATTTGTAGCAAAATTATTCTACTTTGTATGTAGGTATTATGTATGTATGTATGTATGTATGTACTTACAAGCTTGAACATTTTGTTAGATTTGCTGATTTGTTGAGGTTGCTGTTACAGAAGTGCTGCTTGTGTTGTGAATGTCTTTTGCTTACGAATTTGTGCTCTATTTATACGAAAAAATTGTGGCTTACAAAATCCTGATTTCGGAGAACGCTCCGTAATACTATGTATGTACTTGCATGTATATATCTACTATAAACATACATACGTTGAAATAAATTTTGAAACTAATAGATACTTATTTTGTATTCAATAAGAATAGTTTTCTAATTTTGTATATTCGTCATACATATTTATTTACCTAGGTATCTATGCACTTGCGCTGAATATACATACAGTTGTCCACAAAATAATAGGAGTGCGATATTTTGACCAGTTTTGGCTATTTGTCTTTTGTTTATTTAATGTTTATTATTTTTTTATAAAAGCCTAGCTGGCTATACAACAAACACCATATAAATTCAGATTTTAAACTTTGTATAAAAATTATAAAAATTTTGCAATTTTTCACCCAAATTTCAAACTTTTTAATCAGAATCTTTAGAAAAAATTCTGGTATGCAGTTTTGTAGCACATTCAATTCTAGTCTGAAGAAGTGCAAGTTTCAAGCGGCTAAAAAATTCCGTTGATTTTTGAGAATTTTTTTGGTTAAAGGTGTTTCACGTTTTTTCCATACAAAGTATGTCGACAATTTTCTTTTATATGGAGGACACTGCCAGCAAAAAAATTGCCAAAAATCAACGGAATTTTTTAGCCGCTTGAAACTTGCACTTCTTCAGACTAGAATTGAATGTGCTACAAAACTGCATACCAGAATTTTTTCTAAAGATTCTGATTAAAAAGTTTGAAATTTGGGTGAAAAATTGCAAAATTTTTATAATTTTTATACAAAGTTTAAAATCTGAATTTATATGGTGTTTGTTGTATAGCCAGCTAGGCTTTTATAAAAAAATAATAAACATTAAATAAACAAAAGACAAATAGCCAAAACTGGTCAAAATATCGCACTCCTATTATTTTGTGGACAACTGTATATATGTACATATTTAGATACATACATACATATGTATATATTAAAGTATTTGAATATAATTATGATTATAATAATACGCATAGTTATACTTATTAATCTTATATTTTATTTTGCATTGAAAAGGATTTACTTGTTTTGGTATGGCATCATCACGTACTGCTTTTTACACTAAACGTCTATAATTATGCTACATATGGCCCGAAATTTTCCCAAAAAAAAAATCTGACAGGTCCGAAAAATCCTGATAGGTACGAAAAATCGAAAAAGTAGCGAAAAATCCCACACAATATCCAAAAATCCCAGAAATATCCAGATAAGTTTTGCACCAATAATCACGAAACGTCCTTAAAATTCCCGAAATCGAAATATCGCGAAAATCTGAGGATTGACGAAGAGACTCGAAAAATTCCGGAAAAATCAAGTACCGAAAAATAAAATACAAGGAATCCCGAAAAGTCATAAAAAATTCAAAAAAACAAAAGTTTCGAAAAATCCTGAAAGTATAGCAAATACCCGAAAAATAAAATAGGAAGAATCCAGAAAAGTTCCAAAATAATCACAAAATATCGTGAAATCTAAAAACACAATAATTCCGAAAATTTGCTCTAAAATAAGACCAAAGAATCTCGAGAAATTTTTAAACAAAAATACGAAAAATAAATCATAAGGCATCTAGAAAAAAACCCGAAAGGATAGAAAATAGTACTCCGAAAAGACTGGAAAATCATGTAAGGATGACAAATACACCGACAAATCAGACACATATACACCCCAAATATCTCGAACAAAATAACGTGAAAAATAATACGTTGAGAATTCCGAAAAGTTCTGAAAATTTTCATAAAAATAAAATGCTAAAATAAAAAACAAAACCCGTTGAATCCTGAGACTTCAAAAATTACCAAAAATAAAACGAAGAATCCAGAAAAGACGGAAAAATCATGTAAGGATCACAAATACACCGAAAAATAAAATACGAAGTAATCTAAAGTCTTGAAAAAATCCAGAATTTGTAAATTTTGAAACATAGCGAATATAATATCTGGGAAATTCCAAAATTTTTCGGAAAAATGTAAAACGAGCAATACCGTAAATTTTTGAAAAGGTCCCAAGGATTTAAACTCACAAATAATCTCAAATAGGCACAAAAAATACTGGAAAAATTAAACGCGACGTATCCCGAAAAGATAGGGGAAAACGCGAGCAGTCCCGAAAAAAAGTCTTAAAACAAAATATCGCGACAATTAAAACCTGAAAAATTACAAAAGTTCCAAAAAGATCTCGGAAAAACAAAAAATTTCAAAAACGCCCAGAAAAAGTATCACATACAGCATTGAAAATATGTTCTGCAAAAAATTCGGAAAAATCCCTTGGATCACAAAACAATAAAGGTCTTGAGAAAGGAAGGATAACTCACAGAAGTTTCGAGATGATAAAATATGAAGAATCAAGAAAAGTGTCGAAATAACTCCAAAATACCGCCAAAAATAGAACCGTAAGTCCGGAAAAATACCGGTAAGAAATCGTGATCCGCTTAAATCCCGAAGAAACTGCACTAATTCAGGAAAGTCCCGAAAAATAAAAAAATACCAAAACAATCTCGAAATGTTTCGAAGACTTCTAGGAAACAAAGCTCGAGGAAACTCAAAAACACTCTGGAATATCGTGAAAAACAAAATTAGAAGAATCAGAATCCACAAATTCCAAAATAACCCTGAAAAGCACAAAAATCTCTTAAAAAAATTAAGCGCAAAGAGTCCAGAAACGTCTTGAGAAAACCCAATTAAAATTCCAAAAAGCTCCTAATATTATAGCATGAAGAATATCCGCAAGTATTTTGATAAAAGTTGGCAAATATCCTTAGGATAAGTGCCGAAACAACCCCGAATGTTGCAAAGAATAAAATCGAAAATTATCGGGAAAAAATTGTAAAAACTTTAAATACAAAAAAAATACTAATAACCCGAATCTAGAAAAAATCCAGAAAAGTGCCGAAATATTGTGAATAATATAAAGAAGACTCCCAGAAAATATGAAAAATTCGGAAAACATAAAACACGAGGAAACTCGAAAAATATAGCTAAAAAATCCAAAAAGTCCCTAGACCCTAGACCCTAGAAAAATAATGTGCGAAGTATCTCGAAAAAATCGGCGAAACTCCCCAGGAGACTCGAAAAATTCCGAATAAATTACTGATATGTATCTCAGGAAAAACCTGAAAAATCCAGACAATATCTAAAAATTATGAAAGCATAAAAGTCCCAAAATACAAATATAATATATATAGTACAAAATATAATAGAAGACCCCCGAGAAGTCCAAAAAATTCGGAAAACATAAAACAGGATCAATTTCGAAAAATCTGAAACACAGGAAAAAATTAAACTGAGGAATCCGAAAAAGTCACATAAGAATTCCAAACAAATAAAGCGCGGAGTATCTTGAAAATATCGGCAAAGTTCCGAAAAGTCCTGAAAAATCACAACAAAATTACAAATATGTATGGAAAAGATTCGGAAAAATCCCAACGTACCTAAAATTAAAGCACGAAAAATATAAAAATGTTTAGAAAAAATCTTAAAAATTCTAGAAAGAAATTAAATCTGAATAATATCGAAAAGTCTTGAAAATATCACAAATGTTTTTAGAGTAATCCAAGTGAAATACAAAAAATCCCAAAAGGGCCTAAAAAAATACTCAGCGGTTTCAAAAAATTTGTGAAATTCACGATCATTCTATGCATTAATCGTATAATGTAAGTGAAGGTCAACGAAGCTGGTTTTTGCCACAGTTGTCATTCATTGTTCTTCAAGTTTTTATTTGTTTTTTGTTGTTAAAAGATTTTTGCATATACATACATAAAAATAAAAATAAAAACTCGAAGACACTTTAATCCTTTTAACCGTGAATGGTGATACCAATAACGACAACTGTAGCAGAAAAAAATTTGCGCAGTTAACCTATACTCACATCACGGGCAAGCCAGTGAGCCACAAACTCGCTACCGGCTTAATCAACGCATGCGCACAGTGATCATTATTGGCTATTATACAGACTACATACTTATGGGTACATATCACGTCACCTTTCTCTACCACCTACAATTGTAAATACATAATAATAAACTCTTCAGTGTAATTATTTTTCAATGCACGTAATCACCCATTCGCCACTCGTACTCGTACATATGTATGTACCCACATATTTATGTATGATCAAAACAAAAATCCGAAAATAAAAAGTGCAGAATCAAAACAAAATTAAAAATAAAAGCAAGAACGAAAAAATAAGTATGTCTCATGCATGACAATCGCAATTTGGGGCTTAGAAAAAGCGAGAAGTGAAAAATGTAAGTACATAGATACCCTCCTACAATAAGTATAAAAATTATGTAATGAATTGATATTTAGTATTCAGTGCAGCTGCACCTTTTTTGAATGAATTTTTAATTGTCATATAATGATTTTCTGGCCAAATAAATATTCTATGATCTCTTCAAGTTGTCGTATAGAATATTTACGTACATATATACATTAGGGTGCCCATCGATAGTGCTTTTTTTTGAAATTTCAAGACTCTACCCCATAATTTTATTCGTTTTTATGAGAAATATTATTGCCTATTTTTATAGATTTTTTAAAGTTCATTTAGAGGTTCATTTAGGTCAGAAAATACTATTTTGTAGATTTATGAGTTTTTAAATGACTATGTTTGCTTCGATTTCAAAGGGCGAATATGATCTGAGAAGAGGATATATAGGCTTTTAAAATGGTATATACTAGTCTATTGTGCGACTTGGCTTGTTGGGATTTTGTTATCGGGTAGAATAAAAAAAAGTCTTATTTGTCTTAATTTTTTAAAATTTGACCATCGATTATTTCCACAATTCAAAACATGTAGTACTATCTAAAAATTAAATCTATTTTAAAATAAACTGATACCCTGACTTATTATAATCGCATACAAATTTTCGAAGTTAGGCGACTTTTCTTAAATACGGGAAAAATTGGTTTTTCCATAAATTGTTGGGAAATGGGGGTGACACCGC